GGGAGGCAGACAGGGAGGGAGGCAGGCCAGGGGGTGGGGGGGGGCATGTTCCCTGCGAGTCGGAGGGGCGTCACAGGCTTAGTGCCAACCCCGGGCTCCGGGCGCCATAGACCCTGAGGGAATAGTGGGTGCTGGTTGGGGGTGAAGCCAGAGAGCAGACCCAGAGGGCCTGGGGGCTCCTATTGTGGGGATCGGCTGAGGCTGGGAGGGAGGGCTGGCTGCCAGCACCTTGGGGGACCCCTGAGACAGCGCCCCACACCTGGCAGGCAGGTCCTCCGGGCGAGCCCACCAGGGCCACACACACTCACATGCCCAGTGCACACTCACTCATCAGACACCCTCCACACCAGCCACGGGTGCCCACCCTCACAGGCCCATGCCGTCACTCCACACCTCCCGCCAGACCCTCCCCTCCGGCCGCCGGGCACTTGGGCACAGGCACGTGCCCCTGAGCAGCTCACTCACCAGCTCACACACATGTGCACATACACACACACACACACACACACACACACACACACACCTGTGGCTGACATAGGCTAACGCTCCCAGGCACGTGCCCCTGAGCAGCTCACTCACCAGCTCACACACATGTGCCCGTGTACACACACACACACACACACACACACACACCTGTGGCTGACGCAGGCTAACGCTCCCAGGCACGTGCCTGCCACCCCTGTGCACACGTGTGCACACAAACCCCTCTGGCTCTCCAGAGGGCCGTGGGTGTGTGCACCCCAGGCAGCGAGCACAGGACACGGACCCCTTAGAACGGCCGACGGGAGGGTGCGGGGAGGCGGGCTGTCAGGGCAGGGCCCGGGGAGAGGCGGCTCACCCCCACATTGAGGACTGACATGGGGCACAGCAGGTGCATGGCGGGGGCGGGGCAGGGGGGCCCCAACGGGATCCGTGCGGCATGGGCGGGAACAGGGCCGCCCTTTCTCCCACGCACGACTGATTTCGAGAGCACAGCTCCGCGGCCGGAGCCTCAGTGGCCCCTGGC